GTCGATCATGCCGGCAACTGGCAGCGGGTTGTGGATAATGCTGTCGACGCAATAGATTTAGATGTCGAGACATAGACTATGTTGCAGGATAAGTTTGAGATGCTATACATGTTATGATTTATTCCGCCGGATCGATGACGGTTCTATGGATCCTCGCAAGAGGGCACGGAGCATCGATTGACATCCTCTGTAGCTTTTGACTGCGCGTGAACCGTTTCGTGCCCGGACATCCCAACAAACTCGCAAACCTGATCTTCATATACTAGCAATAAACTGCCGTGAAGTGCCCACTTTTTGCGGAGGATGATCCTGACAGTAAATTTTCTTCCAGCAGTTGATGCGAGGTAGAAGTCTAAGAGCGGATGTATGAGACTCTTTCACTACTTAAGAGATACTCAAACATCAAATGGTTGCCGAGAGTGATAAGAACTTAGCAATCTCAATATTTGCGTGACATCTATCTCTTTCTGAGCAACTTCATGTAGGGTATAAGAATCTGTCTAGAAATCCGTGGTCGGCTCGCAGGACACATGGCTCCTAATTACATTGGGTAAGGTACAGTCAATCATAAATCTCCCCAGTCTACTTAGTTATCATGACACAGACGCGTCAAGCTATAGCGTAGATGTCAATAAATCAAGAACTGTTGAAACTAAGATAAAGCGAAAATGCAAACAGTATATATTGAAGCTCCCCTTCCAAAATGAAGCCGAGGAACAGATTCAGCTGTAGATTTGACCATAAAGACAGCTTGTAGACCGCTTATCACAACATGAGACTTTGGTGACGAGACGATGATTTGTCGACTATCAGAAAGTGGGAAGTGGGTAACAAGCGCATGTAGAAGGATCTTGACTTGCTGTTTGGGTAGAGAAAAATGTTCCAGTGTCATTCTGGAGAGGATACGCCGTGATGGGCTGTGCTGTAGGGTCTGGCGAAGAATCCGATTCGCGAGATTGGTTCCCATATGGCAGCTGGATATCTGTACCCTTTGCAGTAGAGTTGTCATCGTTCAGTGCCGTAGCAGTCTTGGACGTGCTGACATCAGCGTCACCTGGAGGCGCTGTCGTTGTTGCAGGCATGACGGTATCAGATCTATCTAGTGATAGCATGGTTGTCTGGGAGATGGGCACGTTTGAAGTCCTCGATGGAGATGCGGCCCATGTTGAGCTTGTGGTGAGGGTTGTCCCGGCGGACAAACCAAAGAGAGTCTGGGAAGCTAATTGGCTAAGACCAATGCTGTCAAGACTGGCAGTATAGGT